CGGTCTCAAAAAAAAAAAAAAAAAAATTTAGATATAATTGTATCTTTTTGAGCATATTTTATATAATTTTCTCAAGCACTAGTTCTTAGTAAGAAACCCTTAATGTGATGTTCTTCTCACTCTGTACCTAATCCGGTGGCTTCCCATGCTGAGAACTGTAAGCCCTGCCCCTGCACCCACCTCTTGCCCATGGTATGAGTGGTGAGTCGCACAGTGAGGGCACCTGCTCTGGAGAAGGACTTGCAGCTTGGCAAATGTGGGAAGGATCTAACAACCCAATTTTTAAAACTCAGAAGAACTTGGATGTGCCTGCCTTTTCCAGGAGGAAAGATGTTGGTTTGGGTGAAAAAGGGTGGGGTTCCTGAAGGTTCTGAAGGGCAGAGCCCTAGGTGGGAGCTCTGTCCCCTTACCCGTGGAATATCTCTTGGAACAGCATCTGTGTTTTGTGTGAGCCTGGACCCCAAGACCAACACCTTGGCCGTGACCGGGGGTGAAGATGACAAAGCGTTCGTGTGGAGGCTCAGTGATGGGGAGCTGCTGTTTGAGTGTGCAGGTGAGGGCGCCGAGCTGGAGGCCTGGCAGAGGTCACATTCCTTTGGGAGGCCTTAGGGGGTGGCCTGCAATGGTTGTGCATCCAACAGCCACTTAGTGATGTCTCTTTTGTGCCAGCTCTGTGCTGGGCCCCAGGACTCAGGGAGAATACTAGTGTGTTTTGGGCACAGAGGCAGGAGGCACTAATTGGCCAAGGGAGTCCAGGAAAGGCCAGAGGAGGCCACACTGGTGTAGGAGCAGTTGGGCAGAGGGGAGGATGGGGGATTGCGGGCAGAGGGGTAGAGTGAACAGAAAGGGGAAGGCATGGGAGGCCTGGGCTCAGCCTGGTTGAATGAGGGTCGGCAGTGTCTCTCCTGGTGTTCATGGGAGTGTTGGTTCCTGGAGCAGCGGTGAGTTCCATCACCTGTTCTGCTCAGCCCCACCCCTCTTTTTTGCCTAACTGGTCCTTTCAGGGGGCCAGATACCAGATGCCACCAACACCAGATACCCTATCATTTTCCTCTCTTTCTGCCCACTTTTCTTTGAAGGCCATAAAGACTCTGTGACTTGTGCTGGTTTCAGCCATGACTCCACTCTAGTCGCCACAGGGGACATGAGTGGCCTCTTGAAAGTGTGGCAGGTGGACACTAAGGAGGAGGTCTGGTCCTTTGAAGCGGGAGACTTGGAGGTAAAATCATCAGAGTGGGAGTCAACTCGGGGGGTCCTTGGGTTGTGGGGGATGGCAAGCTTGGGAGGCCAGCTCTGAGCCACCCAAGGCACAGGAAGAATGTCTGCCTGTTACCTGGAAAGTCCCTGCGGAACCCTAGAGGCAGGAAACCTTGGGTGGAGCTCATGGGGCAGGCTTCTAGGTGGGATGCGGTGACGGGCCTCCTTGCTGCCCTTCCTCCCTGTCCAGTGGATGGAGTGGCACCCTCGGGCACCTGTCCTACTTGCGGGCACCGCTGATGGCAACACCTGGATGTGGAAAGTCCCGAACGGTGACTGTAAGACCTTCCAGGGCCCCAACTGTCCAGCCACCTGTGGCCGAGTCCTCCCTGATGGTGAGAGCAGCTCCCTTGAGTGTCCTTTCCAGTGCAGAGACTGAATCCCGGGATATACACCTCTTGGAGCTGCCTTCTGGGCCACAGCCAGCAAACTCAGGCGTGCTCTTGGGAGCACAGACCTCCCGGGCCCTAAAGCTCATAGCGCCTCCTTCCTGCTCTGAACTCACCTGTGATTCCTGGGGTAGTGTCTGGGCCCTTCCACTCTTCCTTCCTCTCCCTCTCCCCATTCCCTTGCTTAGTGTATCTGAGCGTGCTCTCTGCCCTCTCTTCATCTGTGCCTCTCTTCAGGGAAGAGAGCTGTGGTAGGCTACGAAGATGGCACCATCAGGATTTGGGACCTGAAGCAGGGAAGCCCCATCCACGTGCTGAAAGGTATCAGAGGTGGGGGAAGTTTTAACCTGGGCTTTTTTTTTTTTTTTTTTGGAGACCAAGTCTCACTCTGGCCAGGCTGGAGTGCTGCAGTGGTGCGATCTTGGCTCACTTCAACCTCCACCTCCCGGGTCCAAGCAGTTCTGCCTTAGCCTCCTGAGTAGCTGGGATTACAGGCACGTACTACCACACCCAGCTAATTTTTGTATTTTTAGTAGATAGGGGTTTTACCACGTTGGTCAGGATGGTCTCAATCTCTTGACCTCGTGATCTGCCCGCCTTGGCCTCCCAAAGTGCTGGGATTACAGGCATGAGCCACCGTGCCTGGCCAACCTGGGCCTTTGTGGGGATGAACTGAGAACCTGGGGCAGGACTCAGAGGGAAGATAGGATGAAGCCTGACTTGCCTTCCTGCTCTATGCTAGGGACTGAGGGCCACCAGGGCCCACTGACCTGTGTTGCCACCAACCAGGATGGCAGCCTGATCCTAACAGGCTCTGTGGACTGCCAGGCCAAGCTGGTCAGTGCCACCACCGGCAAGGTGAGTGGACCTGGAGCCCAGCCAGGGCCCTCCACTTTCCCGTCTTCTCTCCTTCCTGCCTGGGTCCTCACCGTCTCCTCTCCCCAGCGTCTTTCTCTCCGTCAAGCACCCGGATTCCGGGCTCTCCTCTGATCCTCTCTGGCTTTCAGGTGGTGGGTGTTTTTCGACCTGAAACTGTGGCCTCCCAGCCCAGCCTGGGAGAAGGGGAGGAGAGTGAGTCCAACTCGGTGGAGTCCTTGGGCTTCTGCAGCGTGTGAGTGAGGACGGGGAGAGGGGCTTGTGGGAGGGACCTGGACTGGGAGGCCCTGGGGGAGGGCCGGGCACGTGAGTCCAGACTCTCATGAGTCTTCACGGTGTGATCCTCTGCTCAGGACGCCTCTGGCAGCTATTGGCTACCTGGATGGGACCTTGGCCATCTATGACTTGGCTACGCAGACTCTTAGGCATCAGTGCCAGCACCAGGTACGGGCAGCTGCAGCTGGGGTCCCTGTGGGATGTGGCCATGATAGTGGGGAAGCCCAGGCCTCTGGGAGCATCTGCCCCAGCATCTGGCTCCTGCCTGGTCCTTGTGTACGGCCGTCCCTCTTTGAGAATTGGGAGCAGACGGCTCTCAGCTCTCCCCCTGACCTCTGCCCTGCCTCTGTCATTCCTCGGGGCAGTCTGGCATCGTACAGCTGCTGTGGGAGGCAGGCACCGCTGTGGTTTATACCTGCAGCCTGGATGGCGTCGTGCGTCTCTGGGATGCCCGGACTGGCCGCCTGCTTACCGACTACCGGGGCCACACGGCCGAGATCCTGGACTTCGCTCTCAGCAAGTAAGCGAATTGGCCATGGGCTGGGATCTCTGTGTATTTGGGAGGTGGGAGTAGTACATGGGGGACACAGGATCCTTGGGGTGTGGGAGGGGATTCCTAAGGCAGGAATGCTGGGAAGCCTGAGGGTTCACAGCCCAGCCCCCACCCCAGTGGCTGCCAGTGACCCTCAGGGGCCCCACGTCTCAGTCATGAGGGAGAGGCCGAGACTGATTTTCCCTGTTGGAGTCCAGCTCTGCTCCCATGCTGGGGGCTTCCGCTAATCCCCTCCGTGCTGGCTGCGGAGGTGTCGGACCAGTGCTGGGCTCTAGGGCCCTAGAACTGAGGGTGTGCTGGAGGAGCCCACTTGAGGGCCCTGACTGGTAGGCTTGGGTCCCCTGGTCTCTGCAGTCACCTGCTTTCTGTTGACAGAGATGCCTCCCTGGTGGTGACCACATCAGGAGACCACAAAGCGAAAGTATTTTGTGTCCAGAGGCCTGATCGTTAATGGCTGCAGCCCCTGCCTGTGTGTCTGCTGTCGAGGGGACGAAGGGACCCTGCCCCCGCCCGCCAGTAGAGGCAGTAGGGCACAGAGGGAAGAGGAGGGCGGGGCCCTGGATGACTTTCCAGCCTCTTCAACTGACTTGCTCCCCTCTCCTTTTCTTCTCTTTAGAGACCCAGCCCAGGGCCCTCTGACCCTTGCCCCTTGCCCACACCTGGTGGGCCCTTCAGAGGGAGGGGCAAACCTCTTTCTCTTTCACTTTCATTTGCTGGTGTGAGCCATGGGGTGTGTATTTGTATGTGGGGAGTAGGTATTTGAGGTTCCCGTTCTTTCCCTTCCCAAGTCTCTGGGGGTGGAAAGGAGGAAGAGATACTAGTTAAAAATTTTAAAAATGTAAATAAAATATACTTCCCAGAGACAGTGTCCTGTGTGGATTTTGTGGTGGCTGAACCTTACTTAGGAGGAGCTAGCGAGGGCCCCGTCAGGGCAAGGCTGCCCCACAGAATCTGCTGGATGTCTCAAAATGTGCCAGCCTGCCGTGTCCAGGGTGGTCTTTGTGCACGGACACTTCTTGCCTGCCTGGAGTCAGACTCTGCCTTGATCCACACGTCTGTCTGTAGGTTTT